AAAGGTAGATCCATTCACAGCACAAGTCATTTATTTATGCTCTGAGCAGGGAGAAACCTCTCAGCTTCTTCCTTTTCTCTCCACGCCCTGCATGAGAGCCCAGCCAATTGGCTTTCACACCAAGTTGGCATGAGTTCTTATTCTGCCACTAACTCAGTAGCTTGGGCCACCTGCTCCTTTCCTATTAACGGCAGTTCGTAGAGGACAAAATTCCTGATGGATTCGAACCCCTTCGCTGTTGCGCTTGTGCACGCTGCCAGAGGCGATGAAGAAGTGGCCTAAAGACGAGAAGGCAGAGAGTCTCCCCCCTTTGCCCCGTTTCCCTAATAGGAAGGGTATAATTTATGGAAATAGGAGTCCAAGAGGTACACAGATCAAAAAAGTCTGGGAATGAACCACTGCTCTATATGGAGAAAGAGTGAGAGAGTATATTTTCAGATTAGATGCAGATTTATGTCCTGCATTTTTTAAACGTTTAGCAATGCCCAGTGTAGGATCTCCAGTCTTTTATCATTGAAGATACTAGCATGATAAAAACATTTTGTCTGGTTCCGTTTTGAGTCCTTTTGAGGGGTACCTCTTTTGGTTTTTATTTTTTTTAATTTTTTAATTTTTTTGTATAAATCTTCGTTTTATGTTAAATGGATTCATCTCCTTCAGGGTTTTTCATTTTGGTTTTTCCCATTAGTCCCCCCCCCCTCCGGTACTAGTTCAGAAACACCTTTTTAAAAACCATAAAAACTCCTTTAGAAAGCAGAAACAAAACAACAGAGAACCAACCAAAGCCAAAAGCAGTGCAGCCAACCACAACTCCCGCCAAGCAGAACAGTTCCCCCCAAAACTCCACCTTCGATCGAGTAAGCACACAGTAAATTAATGAACAATTTAAAAAAATCTTTCAGAGGAACAACCCTCACACATCAAGATACACAAGGGAAAAATAGCAAAATGAAATGCACCCACACACACTTTCCTCCCAAAAAGATCTACCCGTGTCACTCATGCGAGTCAGGAGGTGAGGCTGAGGAGCCTAACGCCGA